TAAGTGCAAGTTCGTGGTTGTTTTTCATTTTTGTCACCGATTTAATTGCAAATGGATTGAGTTCGACAGAATGGGCATCCTGTGGTTAGAAGATAATGGTTCGAAACAATTCTGTCGTCTTCAGAAAATATGTCGACTGATAGCCGAATGCGTCATCATGCGTCTGTTTATTCGAAGCGTATCAAACAAATGTAAAATAGAACGTCGATTTCATAAGGGCCCGTTTCCCTCGGCGGATCTTTTACGTATACCTGAGAACAGGCATCACCTACCTCGGAATAACAGGTGTCATCATATGGAATTCATTGTGGCGACCACCGTTTTCACAACTGCCGTAGTAACACAGTTACCGTATAGTGGTCGCATGTTGTGCGCCTGTACAATTGTTACGGTCGTTTTTGTACAATTTCGTGTCCGAATTTTGTGAGTTCCCATTCTCTCCCGATAACAAACAACTTCAGATGACAACAGCATCAGTACGAGGATTCATCTCATTCTCCGCCTTTTCTATCTGAAGCGAAAGTTTTTCAAATATTCTGCTATGTATATTATCATTAGTCGCCATAAGCATCATCATCGTCTTATTCCGAACGTAGGGACTGCCGCTTCCCTTGCCTCCTCTCAAGTGACTCATTCAGAGTGCTCTCAGAACCAATTATGCTTTTGCTGCCATTATTGGTCCTTAGTTGTTCATTACCGTTTTTAGAACAGAAACACGAAATATGAAATACATGCGACGCGATTCACAGCGTGTGTCGGTCGTTGGCCTCATCGGTGGCCTTAGCAAAAACTACAAGCGAATCGATTTCGCTCGTTAAGGAGTACCCGTGAGGCTTAAATAAATCAAGTTACAAAATAGCTTCTAACAGATACCGATAAGATTATGTTGCTAGTAGTAGTCGATTGTGGAAGTATCGAAAAAATGCTACAATGAAGATTGGCTTCAAACACACCACAGGAAGTTAATTAGCCAAACTTTGCTACATATTAAATTAGTGCCTTACAGGATTAGGAAATAGCTGCAGGCCTTAGCTCGATATGGCTCGCGCGCAGTAAACAACTTCGACACCCAAGAAACTTTATTGTTGCAGGTCAACAGTGCAGTGTATTTACTAACCCTTACGAAGAGTTATCGAATTTTCTCTGTGTCGGCATACGCTGGCTCATTAATTAAGGAAGAGATTTACCATGTACTTGTCCACTAAACGACCGAAACGAGATAAGACGTTGAGGCCGCGATACTTTCCTCTATGCAGTGTGCTAGCGTTGCAGTCCGGGCTGTCCAGCGTCAAGATTTTCCTGCGGGTCGTCAGGCAAGCCATAGCGTCGGCTCGTCATGGCGTCTGTCCGTTGGTCTAGGGCGGGCAATGAGGCTCATGGTGGTCACTCTGCATGATGAAATAGGTATCTTTCTTTGCTTCGGTGGAAGAAGATTACGTTTTGAGAAGCGGACACCGTTCGAGCCGCCAACGGGAGTGGAACTATCTCGGTTAAGCGAAAAAAGATAAGCACAAAAATAACTATGGTTCTACAAAATCTACGCACGTAGAAGGGGATAGAAGGTTATTTTCATGGATGGATGCGTAGATGCAAAAAGCAATTCATCACGTAATAAAAGGTAACGTGCTAAATTCGCTTGTTCCGCTTATCTGGGTCACCGGTAGAGTCGAATCCCATTTGTTATAAAAAGCCGCATCGAACTGAGAGAGAGAGAGAGGCTTACATTGAAAAATGACAAAGGGGAAGGACATGACCCATTTGATGGGTGGGCAGGCGTACGTAGAAATGAGACGGAATCAAGTTTCTCTTTTAATAAGATAACGGAACCGAATTATGACAAGCAGAAACCTCTGTGATATCGGCCCATTTGAGGGTCATTTCATTGTCGTGGCATTACTGAACCCTTGCTCGCTCGCTGGAATTCAGGCAAAACATTTCACCTCATCATACCTACGCATTTTCAAAGCTAGTACAACAAGTAGACCAACGAACCGCCAGAGAACTCGTTACAAAAGATTAGAACAGAGTACAAACAGTTTCTGATTCCTTCTTTTGCACACAATCCATTTATCTATTCATGAAATCATTAGGGTTACGGCGCAACAATTCAAAAGCCGACACTATCTATAATCGTGCTTCCCTCAGTTCGAGCACGTAGGAATATTAAGCGAAAAATTCAAATGGGCCTAGCGCTCATGCTTCAGAAAACATCCCATATTATATACATACATATATATATGTGTATGTGTGTCTGTGTGTGTCCGTCCGTTAATCACTAGAATCGTTCTTACTGTTTTTCTGGGTTGTAGAAATACTTTAGCCGAATAAATGGGTAATGCATACAAATCGGGCTTAAAAAAAACTCATGCAATATATTATTGTTCATGTAATATTTGTAAATATTGCGTTGCGGATGCACAATAGAGCCTCTGGATGTCTGGGTAAATATTGGTGAAAGGGCAGGGTCCGTATCTGCTTTGGACCTAATATGCCAGAAACGTTGTTGTATCATTGTCTGCGGATCACGAAAACGAACTAACCAATTAAAGTTACGGGTCAGAAAGGATCAACATCACATCAGTCATTAACATTCACAGTACGTCATGGAAACTTCAATTACAAATTTGCTCTAATTACTTGTATATCGAACTGTACATATGTATAATGGGTCATATCGAGCGGAGTGGCCGAGCGGAGCAAAATTATGTCTATTTATGCATTCTTGTCAAAGTTTAAAGCCATTTTCTATTCGTCGATAAAATGACGGCTCTTCTGGCCACAATTCAACAACACACTGTTTCTTGTATTGTATGGCAGCGTGTTTTAATTGTTACCGCTATTCGTAGAAGGCTGTGTAGAAGTGACTATGTTCCTCACCGTTCTAGCGTCTTCTATTTCTTCTAATCGCAGAGCGTATGCTGGAACACGGAGGATAGCACCATTTTATGAAGCTCGTCCACACTTCGCAGTCTTCAGCGAGACCGCTTGACGTCGTTAGTACTGACACGCCTCATTCGGCGTAACATCGACGAATAACGCGGCATTATTTAACAAGTTTAGCCGTATTCCTAGTATTATGATCAGCATCGTCTTCATAGGTCCCTCGGGTCCCGAAGTCGTTGGCTGTTTGTAGGGTTTTATCTGGGCCGTCGTCGTTTTCGTCAGCAACTATAACGCGACAACATCGATAAAAGCACTATTACTCTTTTGTTTGAAGCTCCAACGTTGATTTTTCCTCTGGTGACAGTCCGTTTCGTCTCTCCCTCGAAAGGCCCCCATAACACAACCATCACGATGCCTTACCAATGGTGCCGCTCCATTACGAAGAGATACCAACGACGATGATGAGAGCAACAAAACAATCAAGACGAAGCAATTGCTATTGGTAGCTTCTTGTGCGGTGCAGCAATAGGGCAACGCAATGGTTGATACGGCTAGCTAACGCTACCGTCGCAATGTGTAGCGTCTTCTCTGTGTTGTGATTTACTCCAGTGCATTTGTGATCGAACCGCGTCGTCGGCGCAACGTTAGTTGGTCTGAAGTTAGTATTCAACGCGGTGTGTAGTAGACCAAGTAGGCAAATTGCTCTGCGGAGTGTCGGGCACATGGGCTGTTAGCTATAGATCTACAATATAGTTCTATCATACTTCCGTGTTATGGTATACAAGCGACCACCGGGGATGCCGGGCGACATGATAAATTTTCATTCCTCATCAAAAGGATATACGTTTAGACCAAGACTGCGGTATAACACTACCCCTTCTAAAACTTGCTGTTGATACAGCTGTGAAGAACGGTTGCGAGGGTGAAGTCGTGCGAAGCATGGCTGCATTCTTGTTCTATTATATCATATTTCTTAGTACCACGTTATTGGCAAAACGTTTTTATAATAACTTAGCAACGCCAGCAAAAAACTCTTGTCGGTTATCAAATTGGAACTGTTTTCCATGAATGTCTACCATCGCCATATTGATCATGTTCCTTCGCTGCATATTTTGATCCGAGGGCCATTGCGGAGCTGATAATTGCGCGCTGTCAGTCGTATTTTTTCTCGCTCTAAATATACCCTCTGGAACGGGCCCGCTGTTTATATGATGTTGAAGCGTCTTCGCTACCAAATCCTGAAAATAGGAGAACCATCCAAGGCTGACACTGGCGCGGGTGAACGTCAACCTTATGGGGGTGAAAATGTCAGAAGAGTGATGGCCAATTCAGTAGTCGTCACTCTCTGTGCAACTACACGCAGGCCAGCTACAGTATAACACAATGATAGCCGTCACCGTGCTCTTGGCATTCAAATTGACTGGTTTCTTGCTCGAAGTAGGGGTCAAGAAATATGTAGTATCGATCGATTTCTTTAATTGCCATGGACGTATCCTTCATACATGTTGTGAAAGTTTTCCCCTGTATGGCCTGCTCCAGCGGAGTAATTTCGTCCTCGCTTGGCGCAACACAGACCGCACACACGCGTGCACTTAACCTAAGTATTTTATAAGGGATCGGTTATAAATGTTTTCCCTCAAGTTGAAGTAGCTCATTTCTTTGATTTCGGCATCGATTCACTTCCCAAGGTCCCCACTCTTCGACGGGGCTGGCTTTTCGCCGGTGTGCACCCTTTTGACCTCGACTTTACCCAATTTAATTAACCTTAATGTTAAACTCGTGACAGAGGCCAACTGAAAAAAACTTCTCTACCAATACCTGTAGTTTTGCGCACGTTATTCTGTCCTATTAGCCGAGTGAAATTGCCATCTTTTTTGAGCACATTTTTCATCAGGGTTCACACTCAGCATCAACGGTCTTATCTAAAAGTTATTTGACAAGCGAGTCTATTGCAAGTTGATCGCAAAGCTAACTTTACATTACAAAAAAAAATGTCGTTCCACATGTATGCAATAAAAATACGGCAATCAAATAGGTTTCGGCGGTATGTGTGAAACAACACGATTTTAGTAGAAACATATTTCGCCAACAATATTAATGTGATCATTTTGTCATAGATTGATTTGGCCACCTTGTAAAGGTCTGGCTTTCCTTGCCGCTGTAAGGCACTTATCTCCTTTACACTGCAGTCCTTTTTGGGGGCATGCCGGATGTCCCAGCGAAACTTCGTGGCATCACCACCGTTCGTTTGATATGTAGCCAAGCGTTTAAAAAAGTCCGCCACTACGGCGAGGCTCCGCGATGTCCGCTGACGACACCGTTCATAGCGCCACTACTTGTGGCATTGGTGGTGGTCAAAATGAAGGTGGCCACAGTGTCAGCGATGACAGTGGAAGTATTTCTGGCAGAAACGATTCACGGCTTCGCACGTTCGCGCTTAATTGAATGCCGTACGCAATTTGCTACGCGATTTAAGGCAACGACAGCCATCACGGCCGGAGCTGTTTCAGAGAGGCTACAAGAGGCACTAACTGAAGCGACATGTCTAGTCAGAAACAGCCGAACAAATGCCAGTTACGCGAAACACATTTTTTTTGCATCGTGACTTCTTCGAACGGTGGTTATTTAGCTTAGTGTTAGCAATCTTGGGAGAGGCTAACTGTCCTGCCACGCGTCTATAAGTGTGAAAATATTTTGGTCTGCCGTCATCTTCCCCTGGATATCTTTGCCGCCCGCGCTCATTTGAAATTTTTGTTCAATTAATCTTCCGCTGCCATTTCAAGACTTTTGTTGTTACGCGACAGCGAAGATAACAACCGAACTCGATGATGATGAGGCGGCTCTAACTATCTGTACCTTGCTCCGCCTGGGTTTGAAGCACGTGTTGAAATAATCGTTGCGTACAATTGTATCCGTCTAAAGTGAGTTGCTTGTTTCTTTTTGCTTGCTGCTACTACTACTACTACTATTTAAAGACAGAATCTTTTTTATAGTAAGGACTATTATTATTGTTACTGCAAGATCAGCTAATAAGCAGCTAAAAAGTTTCTAGAGCAAACAGCTAATTTGTGACCCGTTACGTGGTTTTCCACCTTCCGATAGAAATCATTGCAAATTTTGAATAGGAGAATAACTCTGAATTGTTTTATAGCGTCGTCAACCTCAGCCGCCGTCTGCTGGTATTATTTACTGATGAAATGCGTATTCGCCTCATCGAGCGCGAATGTATTGGCGCTAGTCATCGCGCTTTTTGGGCTTGGGCTTGGGCTTGGGCTTTTTGAATTTGACAGTGGTGACGACCTGCCACCTCAATGTTCGGTGCCGAAATGACAGCAGTCTGTTATTTCGTTTCGAAACCGCTCTTCATGTTGTAACTTTCTCCATTCTAGCAAACCCGATCCGTTTTTAGCCGGAACAAAAACCTCTTCGGTTTTGAATGTCTTCAAAAGACTGCGGGTTTCATATACAGAATCTTTCTGTATAACAGCTTAGAATAGTACGAACATCCATTAGCCTATGTAACACGATGGCACCACACATATTTAAAGCGTATAGTTAACAGCAGTGCCGAAGAGCGGCAGAGGCCATTTGCGATAGAAAAAAAACTTGTATTTATGATCTGCCATTTTTAGAAACTGCTACGTAAGTTTTTGTTGTTATACATATATATATATATATATATATATATATATATATACGGGTGAAAACCACGGTTCCGACGGTTGAACTTAATTGCGCGATGTGACTAGTCATCACAAATAGGGAACTGACATTATGGAAGACTGACAAAAGAACAGCGTCTTAATTCAATTCATTTCGTTTATTGCTCTTTCGTTTGATTCGACGTTTGTAAGAGGTAGGTAGAAACATATAATTATCGTTATCGGTTCATAGCTGTATTGGAGTTGGTTAGGGCTTTTATTAAATCTATTTTTTGACTACTTCTAGTGCCCAGAGAGAAACACTTATTTTCTATAGGTTTAATTATGTCTATAGAAGTCTTATACGATGAAAGCACAGACTTGTATTGCAACTTTACGAACACCGAAGCACAGCCAATAAAAACTGAAACGGAAAATTCTTTCAGCCATTTACTATAAAAGCGTGAAGCTCGTGAAGGGGGGGAACTAGTTTCATTGGAAAAATTTACACGTATGTGGCACGACTGTTGCCTCACACTAAAAAGGTTCTCAAATGGCCTTGATCCATTTCAGGTATAATGTCTGTTCACATCTTGCTATGGATCTCAAGTTTAAAAACGGGTACAAATAGATCTCTTGATAGATAAATTTAAGCGGCTTCATCCTCGACACTTTTTTAATTCGACAACCTAGACACACGCATCTAATTGCTGGTCTCTAGCTGTACACATATAAAAGTTGGCGTTTGATAACAAATAGACTGCATAGCGGTCACTTCTAATAGCCAGTGGGAGTCGTAAAAACAACTTTTATTCCCGTGTGTCATTTTTCCATTTCCGACTATTAGACACACTTAGAATTGCTTTGTCAACAAAAGGTCCATTAAGTCGGCAGACGCTACGCCCAGTTGCCTGTGTCTGCTATGTCGTTCCATGCGCACGGGCCCCCGTGACGTAACATTTACTCACTGATGAGTAAGTCACCCCCTTTCCCGTCACTCCCCGCGGAGCCGTCTGCAAGTTCAAATAGATTGTGTGGTCTCTGCTGGCCTTCTTTTACCTTTTTCTTTCCGTGGACCGCGTGTAAAAGGGCCTGTTATTGTTCTCTCCATTTTTAGATGCTAGCGGCAGTCGAAGCTGGGAAGAAGCAGTAGCTCGCTATGGCTTTCACGGGCGCCCAACATCGTCACCTCTTTGCTGTCGCCCACATAGCCGACCAACGCAATTTCTAACAGTCTCTATGAAACAAGAGCAGAATTTATTTAGCGAATTAAAACAAAAAAAAATTATATGTATATATATATATGTATATATATGTATATCTATAATCTATATATATATATATATATATATATATATATATATATATAGATTTCTCTTTTGTTTTACGATCCGTTTTACCAGAACTTTTTGCATAGAGTTTTCGCTAGTGAATAAGCTGGATGCGTCGAATTTTTTGTCTATATACCATAGATAATTATGGTGCCCTTCATATTAAATTAGCCGCAGTATGAATCTAGTACGGATTTAGTCTGGTTTTTTTCTTATAGAAACCCTACTTCCGCTCCTTTGATGAGCTATTTCTCTGCTACTGGCGGATTTCATGAATTGCGATTCTTTGTATCATTTGAGCGCGACATACGTAAATATATTCCGTATTATATCACGGAGAATGAGTACATTAACCTTGTAAGGTAATCGAATTTTCTTTAATCGATTTAATATGTTTTATCGAATTCAGGCCCTAGTTCGTGGGCGTTCTACTGGCCTGACTGGTGTTAAACCGCAAAATCAACCAAATTAAAATTACGTGCACAGGGTGAAATTATGCTATAAGTTTATATTCAAATTAATTAGTTATATCCAAATTCTTTGGCTGAGCCTATGTTCATGAAAATACTATACCTACATTGTCCCGCTTTTGTAAAATCAAACCTAAATAATAGATTAATATATTTCTTGTGTATGCTTAGCTCAGATACGTTATTTTGTTTCTCCCCTAAATAGGACTAACTACTGTGGCCAACTCGAACCGAATTGCCCCCGCCCCGCCCCGCCTCCAAATCGGCGGGTGAATGTAGATGGTACAAAAAGCTGTAAATATTCGCATGTTACATATTAAGAATAACAGATCTAAAAGACATATGAGGTATATCTAGAAAACCAGTGGTAACTTCTTCAAGACGTTGACCTCTATGATACATCAAGTGAATGACACGATATTCTTGTGCTTTCATACATAAGCTTGTTTTAGCTCGATGCGCTCAAAACTGATTGAACACACCTTTCATTTTCCCAATGACACATAACAACCTGGCTGTGAAGCTGTCAACTTGTGAGGTGTCTCGGATAAAGGACCACACTGACCGAAGCCCAAATTGTAGGAGACTCAGGTTCGCTATCATGGGAACAGCGAGAGAAGAATGACGACAAACAGTTACCCCTAAAATTTGAAATCGATAATTAGCAACAGGTCAAACTGATTAAGTTCACCCAAATCGCAAACGTATATAATCTAAAGCGACTATACTGGAGTGGAACGCCGCGTTCGTTAGCCGGCCGCCTTCTATTTCTGTATTGCTGGAGCACCGGGACGATGCTGAGGCCAAATACAGAAGACATCGTCGTTCCTATGCTCAAGCTTCGTTCGTATAGTCATTATATATAGAATCGTTATGTGCCATCGAGAAAATAGGACAAAACGCAACGAAGAATGAATCGGCGGGCGTCCGTCCGTTTACTCGAATCACGTCGTCCAGGTAGTGAACACAGAAAAAGAAAAACTCGTTCCGTTGACGTGAAATCAGTCACAAATAGAAGAAACTTAAGAATAATTAAATATCTTATTCTCTCACTGGGATTTAGAATCATTGTTGAAACAACAGCAGTAGTGATAATAGTGTTCATAATGGCATTAGTATCGTTGAGCAGACATTAAGGTTAGCATGTACGGGCTGGACCCTCCGTGGTTCCGCTGCGGTCGGCCAAATTGCTTTAACCAAGGCCACGCAGTCCGACTGCAGAACTGCCAAATCTGTTTCGTCCGCCCTTTGGTCGACATGGTTAGAGAGTTGCTATCTGTATTGGTTAACAGCATTTTACAACAATTTCGCTTATAGACGACCACCAAGAAAACCATGCAACTTAAACATACCTGACGCCTTTTGCTTTCACTTACATTAAGCGATATCTATCTTTTAGTAGGCACTTGGTAGCAGTAGTAATATTAGCGTTTTTTACCTTGTATGTACAGTATCTAAAATAATTTAAAAACTACACCTGAAGTAATTATACGTGAACAGTCATAATTGATCGCTTTATTATACACCGATAGGACTATCGAAAGTGGCTGTTTAACTTAACTTTGGCTTTACACTCACAAAGGCACATACATACACGTATGTAACGTATCAATACGGTAATACAGCAGACGGCATCACGCATGCCCATCTAGCGCAGGGAATAGCAATATTTAAGCATCTACCAGTCGTTTTTAACAGAATTTCGTATGTACTGTCCTACCTCTTCCGAGGACTTTTTTCTGCTTTGGGCCGGGATAGTCCGAGGTACCACCACGAGGTGACCAGCTGATTCACCAATCTAACCCTTTTTTGATACGAAGCCAATTGCCCTGATGCAATTATCCGACATTATTTGTTTGACGTTTACCGTGGGTGTGATATTTCTAATATTTTTTATCGTGTACGTGGGTAAATTGGATGCTTCGGCGAAACGCACACCGCTGTGAAGACTACAAACATTCAGACAGTCTAATCGGTTTGTCAATGAATCTATTCTCCCGTAACGACCGATGCGCTCAAGCAACAGTTTGTCCTTTATCGACCCTGAGCATTGGTGAAGCCAATAGCAGGCAAGGGAAACATCTAAATTTACTGAAAGGAGACGGGAACAACTCGGTACGCGGAAGATTCGATCGTATTTACATATCCCGTACACACATTTTACGCAGATCTCTATTGGAATCTCCACCGAAGCTCGGAAGACCACTGAAGACAAGTCAGGCCTTTAGTTCGGTATGTAAAAATGGAAATTCAAATGATGCAAACGTCGGTTGTCTGGTTAACTTCTGGAAATTGAGGATGCTCATTAATTCGTTAAAGGCGTCCTAGATATAAACGACCTTCCGACTTAACTTCGATCGTTTATATGGGCTTAAATTAAGTTCCAGTCATAAACTCCTCTATTGAATACAGTTGTGTCAGGGATCTAAATGCCGTCTAAACAAACAAACCTGACTTGGAAGCATCGATAGACTTTCTA